AAATTGGCAAAGAAGAAGCAAAACTCTATCTGCAGATTATATGATCCTATGCTTAGAAAATATGTCTTGAGTCAGTTTTGTCTTGCTCAAACTGACATTCTTGCTCTTTAATACTTCAAAGAGGTGTTTTGCAGCAGACTTTCCTGATGTAACATGTCATTTGATTTCTTGACTGCTGCTTCCACTAATGTTGATTGTGGATTCAAGCAAAAATGCAAAATTAAATCTTTGATAACTTCATTCTTTTATCCATTTGTCATGCTGTTATTTACTTTTAAGTTAATTAGTTTTACTTTGTTCCTTTGTAATCTTTAAAATAACTGGTGCCTTTCTCTTGTTTTAGGTTATACATATCTACAGAAATAGCCAACCCTCATTTTTATCCATCAGTTCATAACTTTGTCACTATGATCAACTTCACGGTAACATTCCAAGGTTTACAAGATCAACTCTTATCTACTGTTGTAATGCATGAAGTCCCTCATTTAGAAAACCAACGTTTCCAGTTGGTGGAGAATATTTCCCTTGATGCTATAACTCTTGAAGAATTGGAGGAAAAAACATTAAATTTACTGCGTAAAACACAAGGTAAGTCAAGATATTGAATAATATTAAAAGAGCTCTGTATATCTTTTTAAGGACACATTCTAGATTGGTACCAACAATACCAGATTTCCACTGCCACGAGATAACTAAATAACATAGGTGAACCTCCCCATTTCTAAAATTAAAACATTATAAATTTTCTTGTTTGTCAGTTTGTATCTTTGCTTAAATTCACTATGTCATGGGACATTTGTAATCATATTGTAATCATTTGTATTCATTAATTGAAGGACAAATGTTATAGATGCTGGTAATTCCTTTCTCGGTTTCATGCCCATACTTCAGGTACCAGACATTGGTTATACTCATATATATCAAGTTATATCACAGAGACCAAAAGATTAGGTTTTACCCAAGTATTAATAACTAAAAATCCTGTAACAGGACACTGTCCAGTGACTTATATGTCTCCCATTAAAATATGCTGTTTATTAAAATAGCAGTAGGAACTATTTTCCTGCTCACCACAAGAAATGTTTAGAAACATAAAGTTTATAACTTAATGTAAAGAAACAAAAATTCCTAGTCCACACTGATAGGTTTGCCTCTAATTCAACTGCAATTAAAAACATTTTTAAAAAAATTTTTAATCTAGATTTTAAGTCTGAGGTGTTGCCAGATCTTTCTGTTTTCCAATCATTTAAAATCTAGATTTTCATTTGTAATTGCCCAGTTTTTTAGTGTTGTTGTTGTTAAGTGCCGTTGAGTTGGTTCCAACCCATAGCGACCCTGTATAGGGTTTCCAAGAAGCAGCTGGTGAGCTTGAACCGCTGACCTTGCAGTTCTAACAGCTTTGCAGTCTGGCGCATTAACCCACAGCACCACGCTCATAGCTAATCCAATTTTTTTCTAAACAAAACATATCTGAGGCCATATTTGACCTTCAGGCCATTAGTTTGCTTCTTCTGCTTTAAAGACCTTCTCTTGGATCTGATATTTTAACAAAATTAATTTTAAACTAGTTTTGTTTTTTAACGGCAAAAGTACCAACAACAATAAAAAGGGCTATAGGTTTTTAAATGGGAATCGGATGTTTGGTAGGGCATGGAGAATCCCCAAGAGTGTTACTGATCAAAAAAAAATTTCAACTTTGAGCATTCTTATTAATACTCCACAATTTGGAGAGAGATTGGTGTGGTGCTGTAGGATAAGTACTAACCTGCAAAATCTGTTTAAACTGCAAAGTCGGTGGTTCAAACTTGTTGGAAACCCTATACAAGATTACTATGAGTCAGAACCAACGTAATGACATTTAACAACAAAGAACAAACCAAAGAATTGAGTAGAAAGCCCTGGGAGAATAATGGAAAACCATCAAGGGATCTTGAAAGCATTGGGAAGAATCTTTCAGACCTCTGTACTAACTCTTGGTGTGGCATTGTAGGATAATCACTGAACTACAAGGTCAGTTTGAACCACAGCGTGGTCAGTCTATAAAGTTACTAGCCATGCCTCAAAAACAACATACAGGGTCCTTACAAGTTGGAACCAACTCAACTTCACTTAACAACAGCATAGTAAGTCAGGAAAAGATACTAAAGCTCAAAGGTGGAGGATAAACGATTAATTGACTCAAGCCTTCATTCAAGACATTTAATGGAGTCTCAAAGAAAGAAGAACCCCATAAACATTTGCCCCTCTCCTATCTGCATGACCTCAGGCTACAAAAGAGCAGAAATAAACCAACAACCAGTTCTGAAACTCAAGGGTAGTGAAGGCAGAACAACTGGTTTAAGATAGACACACAAAGAGTCCGTAGGACTATATCAGAACAAATAAAAAGTTAGAATAAACTTAGCAACATTGAGCATTAGCAAGATAAAAGAAATAGCATGTCATTTAATATATATATATTTACTCTGCAAGGAGGGTTGAAGATGAAAATATAGGGACCAAGAGCAGAAGAAGAACCTAGTCTGAAACAAAACATTACCCAAGAAGTAAAATTAGATTCTCCCAGAGTGTTTTATACTATTAAAGACATTTATATGAAAGTAAGCTCCTACCTAAAGAGAAAAGTAAATTTTAAGATAAAGTGATGAAATTCAAAAGTGAGATGAAAATTGAGATTGCTTAACTAAGCGACAAAATCATGCTAATAGAGAACAGACTATGCATGACTAGCCATTGATCTAATGATATGTATATGAGTCGAGTTAATCACAGTGATTAAGGAGCAAAATAGAGATTAAAGTACTCATAAAGCAGACAAAATATACAAAAACAAAAATTGTGAATGAAAAAATTTTGTGTCCTTGAAACATTTTTAAAAGTGGAATTTAAAAGATAGAATTAAAAGCATCCTGAACTGAAGGAAGATCTGAATTTTATAGATTGAAAGGACAAATCAGGACAAAGAGATAGAAATCAATCAACACTTAGATATGTCCAGGTTATGTTGTTGAACTTCAAGGATAGAACTGACAGAAATTCAACTGGTTACTGTTGTTATTTGCTGTTAAGTGCCATCAAGTCAGTTCTCACTCAAAGGGACCTTGAAATTCAAACCGACTTTGTGATCCAGTGCTTATCCTACTGCACCACACATCTTGTTGTTATGTGCCATGGAGTCGATTCCAAATCATAGCGACCTTATACAGGGTTTCTGAGGCTGTAAATCTTTATGGGAGCAGAAAGCCTCATCTTTCTCCCGTGGAACAGCTGGTAGTTTTAAACTGCTGACCTTGCGGTTCGTAGCCCAATTCGTAACCACTATGCTACTGGGTTAAAAAATATATAGGCCATAGTATTATACTTAACCAACTGTTTTAAAATATGAAGGCAGAGGCAATAATTTTCAAACATGAAGGCACTCTGGGGATTCATAGGGGAAGAACAACCTGCTTAATGATGAAATCTTACTAAATAAGCAATCAAAATTCAGAAAGTGGAAGGAAGTCTGAATAATCACTTATTTCTTAGAGACGAGTCAATCTATGCTGTTTAAAATTAAAATGTGTACCTTTATTGAAAAATAATTCAATTATTTCATTGTCTTCATAGTAGTTTCTCTGAACTTTAGAGGACTAATATCTGTTTTAGGGACTAATATGCTGTCATAAAGTAAAGTTTATCTGAGCTTCAGCAAATCTCTGGGGTTTTTTCTTTTAAATTCTAAAAAAAATAAATATAATAGTTGTTTCAAAAATAGTATTTGAAGTAGGATCTATTTACCATAAAAATTTCCATTTATCACTCTATCCACCTACACTTCTATCTGTATATATGCATAGAAAAATACTTAGACTAATTCTTACCATGTATTAACACAATGTATTCAAAGGCAAAGCACTCTCCAAGTGCTTTTGTTGTTGTTAAGTACGATTGAGTCAGTTCTGACTCATAGCAACCCTATGTACAGCAGAATGAAATACCAACCAGTACTGCGCCATCCTTACAATTGCTGTTACACTTGAGCCCATTGTTGCTGCCACTGTGTCAATCCATCTACTTGGGGGTCTCCCTCTTTTTCTGTGTCTCCCCCCTCCCCACTTTACCCAGAATGGTGCCTTGAATTTACTTGA